GCTGTTATTGAAGGACAGGTAGTCTACATGACCTTTGTTTATGGAGATCTGGTCATTGAGTGTCGTTAACTTGCTTGGGAACAGATTACACATATAAGTACACATGGATGGGCCCGTGGTTCATGAGTGAAGATTTTAATGAGATTACAGGCCACCATGAGAAAAGAGGAGTCCGGAAACGCCTAGATGCATCCTTTATTCCTTTTAATACCATGCTTGAAGACACTGTAATGATGGAATTCCCGATAAAAGACAACTCCTTTTCTTGGGTCGGAAATAGGAGGAATGGAAGAGTTTGATACAAGCTTGAAAGAGCTATAGGTAATGAAGACTGGCATCATAAATTTTCCCACACTTCTGTGGAGTATCTAAAATAATGGGCTTCAGATCATCTGCCAATATTGGCTCATATACAATCACGATGGGGTAAGGTTAAGAGGAATTTTAAATTTGACAAGAGATGGCTCGAAAAGGAAGGCCTACCAGAGACAATCATTGAGGGATGGGGTACCTCTAATGTCTTGAGCACTCCAGATCTGTATGCAAATATTGTAAAATGTCAAAAAGTGATATCAACCTGGAGACGATGTAACCCATCAAATGTGATAAAGAAGATTGAGGAGATTAAAGAGAGATTGGAGACCACCCAACAAGATGACTCTGTTTCAAATGAGGAACTCCTAACCTTGAAGTGGAATCTATGTGCAGCCTTTCGCGAAGAAGAAATTCTACTGGAAACAGAAAAGTCGGGCTAATTGGCTTAAGGAAGAAGAGAGGAATACCAAATTCTTCCATGCCGCGACTAAGCAAAGAAGAGCTAGAAACAGGATCATCAAACTCAAAAATGCTTCGGGAGTACGGGTGGAAAACGGACAGGGACTGGAAAAGGTGGCTGCTGATTACTTCAAGACCTGTTTACGACTTCCAAGCAGTTTGACGAGGCTCTCCGGTATGTTACCGCGCAAGTTACTCCAGCTATAAATGATGCACTTACGAGCTACCCATCTGATGAGGAAATAAAGAAAGAAATTTTCAAGATAAAACCAGAGAAAGCTTCGGGACCAGATGGAATGACCAGCTTCTTCTACCAGAAGTTTTGGGATGTAACCTCAAAAGACATCATCGAAGTCGTCAGAGACTTCTTAGCCACAGGCAGGTTTGATTCGAGGTTAAACCAGAAAAATATTTGTCTGCCCAAAAACCGCAAGACCAGTGGAAATGGCAGAGTTCAGACCCATATGACTCTGTAATGTCAGCTACAATATTATTTCAAAGATCCTAAGCAAGGGATTAAAAAGATTTCTCCAGAAACTTATTTCGGAGACCCAATCAGCTTTTGTAGCTCGACGTCATATTACAGATAATATCCTAGTGGCACAGGAAGTGTTTCACGCACTGAGAACAAACCCAATCTGTAAATCCAAATATGTAGCCATTAAGACAGACATGATTAAAGCTTATGACCGAGTGGAGTCGGGCTTCCTCGAAGCACTAATGAGAAAAATGGGATTTGCTGAGAAATGGGTTGAGTGGATTAGATGGTGTATTTCATCTGTGTCATACCAAGTTCTCCTCAATGGAGAAGCGAAGGATAATATTCGACCATCGAGGGGTCTACGCCAGGGTGACCCACTATTACCTTTCCTGTTCATTATTCTGACAAAGGCTCTAATAGCGCAAGTTAAAGGAGCAGAAACGGAAGGAAGGATTTCAGGGATTAGAGTAGCCCAGACTTGCCCACCCATATCACATCTTCTTTTTGCAGATGATAGCTTCTTTTTCTGTAAAGCAGAAAAGAGAGAGTGTAAAGAACTGATGAAGATCATAGAATGCTATGGGAAAGCATCGGGCCAGGAACTTAACTGTACAAAATCTTCTATCCTGTTTGGGAGTAAGGTCCCAACAGAGAAAAAGACGAAGGTAAAACAGGCGCTAGGCATCTCAAAAGAAGGTGGCATGGGAATGTATTTATGGCTACCAAAAAAGATTTGTGGCTCCAAAAAGCAAGTCTTTGCCTTTATCCAAGACAGACTGAATACCCGAATTAATGCATGGTCAACCAAATTGCTCTCAAAAGGCGGGAAAGAAGTTCTGATTAAGTCGGTAGCCCAGGCCTTACCCACTTATGTCATGTCATATTTTCTCCTCCCACAAAATCTGCTGAAGATGCTTAATGGAGCTATAGCCTGATTCTGATAGAGTACAAAGCAAAATAATAAAGGAATGCATTGGATTGCCTGGGACAAGATATGTGTCAACCTCCATAAAGGCGGTTTGGGATTCAGAGACTTAAAATTCTTTAATCTGGTGTTACTGCAAAACAACTTTGGAGACTGATACAATATATGTCGTCCCTGCTGGAAAGAGTTTTAAGAGCGAGATACTTTCGATACTCGACTCCTATGGAGACGGGTAAAGCAAACAATTCGTCTTATGGATGGAGGAGTATCATGGCGGCAAAAGAACTCCTACAAAGAGGCTTGAGAAAAGCAATAAATTCAGGGATCAGTACAAGAGTGTGGTATGATAACTGGATCCCGGTCTGCCCACCAAGACCTGCACTTGGCATAGGAGGAGAGAGGGACCCGGATCTGTATGTGCATCACTTGATAGATCCAGTCACATCGGAATAGCGAACTGAACTCCTTAATGAGTTAGTTGATCCGAAAGATATTCCGTGTATAAAGAGCATCAGACCCAGTAGAACGTACAAACCTGATAGGTTAATTTGGGCCTACTCAAAGTCTGGTATGTACTCTGTAAGAACAGGGTATGAGTTGGCAGTACAAATGAGAGACGAAGTGGGAATACAACCGGTCATAGAACCGAGCTTTACCTCCCTAAAGAGTAACGTCTGGGATTTAAAGACCCCCCGTAAGATTAAACATTTCTTGTGACATGCGCTATCCGGATGTATGGCCACCAATAGCCAACTAATGTATCACCATTAGAGGACAAATAGTCGATGTTAACGATGTGAAGCAGAGATAGAGTCGATCAACCATGTACTCTTTGAATTCTCCCCAGCGCTACAAACATGGGCTCTAAGTGTAATCCCATCCCCTCCGGGTATCTTCCCGTGCTCAGCAATATCCCAAAACTTAGCATACCTCCTATTCCAGGTCACAACACAAGGAGAGATTGCAAAGTGTTTGGAAGCTTTTCCCTGGATCCTATGATATACGTGGAAGGCCAGGAACGAAAAGTTTTTCAACAACAAAGACATAGCGACAATAGATACTTTGGAGATTGCCTTACAAGAAGCGGAGTCTTGGAAAGTGGCACAAAAAGTCATGGAAACTGGAGAAGTCCCAATTACCACTCAGGAGACAGAGCGACATAGAGACAGGATGTTAACAAGCCCCGCAGATGCTAGTCCCATGTTTCTGAGATGCCAGGCTGATGCCTCCTGGGTTAAGGAAGGGGATACAATAGGTGGGGGACTAGTCATTGAGCTGGAGGATGGCAGTCGGTTATTTGGCCTTAATGGCGATTGATAAAACCCTCTCACATTTACATGCTGAATTTGAAGCCCTCCTGTGGGTAATTAGATTTTTGTCCTCCATACAGATACCGGGATTGGTTATTGAGACAAACTGCCAACAGCTAGTTAAACTAATTGAAGAGGAGGAATGGCCGGTCTTATTGACATAATTGGAAGAATTGGAGTTTTTGCGCCCTAATTTTTTTGATCTTTCCATTATAATTACTCCACGCTCTCACAATATCTGAGCTAACCGTCTTACAAAAGGCGCTCAAGCCCATGGTTTGATCTTTTCCCATGTAGACTCTATTTTTTCATAGTGGCTGACTTACGAGTCCAGTATCTTTGGAAGTTCAGTTTAATATATGGTGTTTTGCCGTAAAAAAAAAAAGAAAATAAAAAAGAACTGTACAAATCCTATAAAAAACAAAACAAAACATCAAGATCTTAGCAATAAAATCTTTCTCTAAATCAAAACATCAAAATCTTAGCAATAAAATCCTTCTCTAAATCAAATATATATAAACATCAAAATTAGATAATTTGATAGATATCATAATTATTATTTTACTTAATAAGATTTAAAAAATTATATATAAAAATAAGATAAAACTACAAATTGCATTTTAAATTTTGTTATATAAAAAAAAATTTCTATAAATTTATTATTACTTTAATAATTTAAAAAATAGTAACTAAAAAATAATTAAATCAAACTATTAATACAGATTCGCATATCACAAATTATAAACCTATTAACCATAACACAAACCTATAACTTTTTTTTTTTAATGTGGGACCGTTGGCGAATGTTTCTTTGGGAAAGATATATGCAGAATAAAGAAAATCAACATAAAAATCAATTTTTATTTGTTATGTATTTGCTTATATGTAGTTTAAGGTTCTTGTATACAAATCCAAGTAACTAAGCAAACAAACATAATTAATGGTTGATTAAACAGATAAAAAGATCAACTATGTTCAACTATGCTCACTGAAAGTAAATACACCTCAAGGGAATTGATTCCTATGAGATTAAGCAAATCGAAACAATTAATAATTTAATGAAGAACAAAATTGTTAAGGCAATACTACTACTACTACTCTCTGGTTTTACAGATACAGAACCATCAAAGGATACTTCAAACTTTGATCGTTAAGTTACATAACCATAACAACGTTTTCTGCCAATCTTGAACCAACGAGTCTCGGATACTTTTCCAGATTATAAGTTAGGGTAGTTAATTACCTAACAAGAGCATTCAGAGTTTTCTTGTAAATTACGTTTTGCTGATGATTAGTGAATAATACTATTGAAAGACTCCACCCAAATCGTTTTTATTTTTATATTATACAACTCACCAACGTGATATTGGAAAACGACAAAACTAGATAAAATGTCATAATTCGGTTGAGTATTAATTGATTGGATCAAACAATATCATTACCAAATTACTGCACCAACTCTTTTTTCTCTCTCTTATATATAGCGTTTAAGGGTTTAATCTGAGTGCATCATCACACACAAACAAAAGTCAGAGTAACTCTTGCTTGCACTTGTTCTTTGTCATGTCTGGTTCAGTCTCTGGTAACACAGAAGCTCAGAGCTCTAGCTATCCAAGCAGCAAGCGCGGTGGCTGGATCACTTTTCCGTTCATCATAGTTTAGTGTTTTAATTTTGGAGGGGTTCTTGAATCCAAAAACATATATACAGACAAGACACATGTTGATTAACTTAGGAAGTTGTATCTGGTGCAGCTACGATGTTAGGTATGCCCGTGACTTCTTTCGGATGGTCCGTGAACTTGATCGTCTACCTAATCGAGGAATTCAACATTAAGAGCATCGCTGCTGCTCAGATTACAAACATTGTCAATGGATGCCTCAGCATGTTACCTGTTGTTGCAGCCATTCTAGCTAATTCCTTCTTTGGAAACACTCCTGTCATCTCGGTGTCTGCTTTAATTTCTCTGCTCGTAAGCACTCTTTTCATCATTTCTAGTCAATGTTTCCGATATACAAAACTCTCACAAGTTTTTTTTTTAAAAAAATGTTTCATTTAATTAGGGCATCGTTCTCTTGACCCTAATCTCGTTTTTCGACAATTTAAGACCTAGACCTTGTGAAACGGGCTCAATCTTATGCAACTCGCCATCGAAACTCCAGTTTGGGATCTTGTGTGCAGCTTTAGCTCTAGTAACCACTGGATCAGCTGGAACACGTGTGACTTTGGCATCCGCAGGTGCAAACCAATATGAGAAACGTAAAGATCAAGGAAGCTTCTTCAACTGGTATGTCCTTACTGTGAATATAGGAGCGATCATTAGCGCGACAGCGATTGTGTATACACAGGACAATGTTAGCTGGAAGCTCGGGTTCGGTCTCTGTGCCGCTGCTAATCTGATCAGTGCCATTGTTTTCATCTCCGGGAAGAGATTCTACAAGCATGAAAAACCCATGGGAAGTCCCTTCACAAGCCTTTTATGTGTTTTAGTCGCTTCTATGGTGAAAAGAAAGGCTGTGATTTCATCCAAAGAAGAAGACTATCACAACCGTGGGATTGGAAAAGAGGCCAAGCCTTCTGTTTCAATGCCCTCCAAGAGCTTCAGGTGAAAACCAAAAATCTTGCATGATTCATGAAACTTAAACAAGAACTGAATATAGCTTTACATGTGCAGGTTCTTGAACCGTGCAGCGTTGAAGACTGAAGGGGACAAGAAACCAGATGTAGATTCAATAAAGAACATATGGAGTCTGTGCTCTGTTCAAGAAGTAGAAGATTGCAAATCCGTTCTCCAACTTCTTCCTCTGTCGCTAGCCATCATCTTCGTTACTACTCCCATTGTGACGCAATCAAGCTTTATGGTACTCCAAGCTCTAGTCACAGACCGTGGGCTCGGCCCTCACTTCAAAGTCCCGGCTGCATCTGTCCAAGTGATATCAATCATCTCCTCATGCATCTTTATCATAATGAACAACTGGATTGTCTATCCCTTGTACCACAAGCTAACCCATAAGCCGCTCACACCGCTTCAAAAAGTCGGTATAGGCCATGTTTTCATCGTCGTAAGCATGGCGGTCTCCGCGGTTGTTGAAGCAAAAAGGCTGAGAACAGTTGAAAATGAAGATCACATGTCAGTGCTATGGCTGTTTCTTCCTCTTGTGGTTGTAGGAATAGGCGAGGCCTTCCAATCACCGGCAAATACTGATTTCTTCTATGGAGAATTCCCCGAGTCTCTGAGAAACACGGCGACTTCATTGATCTCACTGGTGTTTGGAATCTCTTTCTATCTGAGCACTGCTCTGATCGATCTGATCCAGAGGACCACCAAGTGGTTACCAGATGACATTAACCATGGAAGAGTTGACAATGTTTACTGGGTTTTAGTCATTGTAGGAGTCTTGAACTTCGGTTATTTTCTTGCCTGCTCTTGGCTTTACAGATACAGAAACCTCCAAGGTGATAATGAACAAGATCCTAAAGATATTATAACTTGAGACAAACAACATCTTTGCTTCAGTTTTCAATTAACTTCTGTGTTTGTGTTTGCAATTTTTACCATGTTATGTGTGTTTTTCTCTAATAAAACTGATGTCTTATATTTTTATCATGTTTAGTATCCCTGAATGTAACAGAGTAATCAGCTGCTTCCTATTAAAATTCTTAAGTAAATTGAAGTAGGATTCATCTTATATCTTACTTTCCTCTGATGAACATTTGCAGGAATCAGACTCTTTCAGAGAACCCTCATTTGTATATTTAATACTCTTGGGAATAGGACTAAGCAACATAATTTTAAGTTGATATATATTAAAAATTAGAAGGTGAAAACAAATAAACATATATAATGAACAGAGACTGCCACCATAAGAAGCAACGATTTAATATTCCAAATCCCTAAAAAGCCAAAATTCAATCACTTTACAGTGAGTTACTTTGAAGCTCACTGAAAGCTATCTCCTAAAGTGGTTGCTGTTTGGCTCTTATCAGTTAATTAATATCAAGAAAAACAGAATTTTTGTTTTCTTTTTCTGGAGATTTGATTTATTTTTCAAGAAATTTCCCAAAAGAAGTTTGATGATAAAAGAAGAGAAAAAGCCAAAAAAGAATGGTCGGTTTTAATTAGAATACTGACACATAACTGAACACTTTTCTACCAAATGGTCCCATACATATCCTCTTGATACTACCTGCAATCAAGAAGACAAATGAAGTAATGAACGGGAAGAGTATGTATGAAGGAGAGAAGATTCTATCAATAGACATTTGTTTATTACATTCACCAACCTGTTGTTCCTTGACGACAATTGTGGATAAAATGTCAGAATCTGATTAGCTATTTTCGTGTTTGCTTATTGGGTTTATGGACACAGAAACCTCAAGGGTGAGGATCATGAACAAGATTATAAAGATGTTACAACCTATAAGACACAACATGTTTTTTTTTTTCAGTTTCCTCTACATTCATTGTTTCCATGTCTTGATTTAATATCTTACATGCTCATGTTAACTTTTGTGTTGTTGTTTGTTAGCAGTTTTCACCAAGTGAAGTGTATTTTTGTATATTTTCAATTTACGTATGGAAATATATATACTCAGAAAATAGTACTTTCAAACTGGTGCAACAGAGTAATCAGCAGATTCTTATCAAAGTTCTCTGAATTAGGTTACTTACAGTAGATTCATCTTATCCTTTACCTCTGATGAACATTTGCCAAATCAGATTCTTAGAGAACTTCTGATGGCGCTCCAATCTAATGTCTGAAAAACGACTAAAACCCAGTAAACAGAGGATAAAATGTGAGAACATGGTTAGGTTTTTCTTGGACAACAAGAAAATTATTGCAATAGTACAAACTGTCAGTTTGTTATGTATTTGATAATAAGTAGTGTTCAGGATTTTCTATATATCATATACAAGTGGAAGTAACTCCGTTCTAATTCATTCTCTTGTGACACAAAGGATATTATACAAAATCTATGGATTTAATCAAGTAGTGTTCAGAATTTTCTATATCTTATTATATAAATTTGAATGCATCAAAGTTAGCAATTCATAAGATTATTATTCATATTTTTATAAATATATAAAAACATTTATAATTTTTCTAGGCTGATTCTTCTTTTAAACTCAAATCAATTATATAAGATGAAAAACTAATGAAGCAACAAAAAACAATCAGAACTGTGGAAGTAAAATGAAGGAGAAAGCCAATTTTGCTCTTATACCATTTTACCAAATGAGATTCTCGATGAGAGATTGTTAGAGAAAAATCATATTTGTGAAAAATGTAAAAGTAAATACGGTATGAAAGAGAAAACCAATTTTTTAATCAGTTTTATAATTAGTGGTTTTGCGAAAATATTCTCAATCTTATTTTTTATGTTCACAGTGATCTAATTTTGTTTTATACTTTTTCATGTTCATTCATATTTGTGAAAATATAAAAGTAAACGTGAAATGAAGAAAAAACTAGTTTCTTTAATCAGTTCTATTATAAGTGATTTTGCGAAAATTTTCTCAATCTTACTTTTTTAATGTTCACAGATCTAATTTTTTTTTTTTAACTTTTCATGTTAGTCATATTTTTGAAATTTATAAAAGTAAATATGGAACGAAGGAGAAAGCCATTTTTTCAATCAGTTCTATTATAAATGGCTGTGTGAAAATATTCTCAATCTTAATTTTTAATGTTCACAATAATCTAGTTTTGCTTTTTACTTTTTTTATATTCATTTTTAATGGATTATGTAATAGTTAATATAAATCAGTGTACAGAGAGATCACAATATGAGTTAAAATAACTAAAATTCAATTAATCAAAATTTATCAAGTGTAATAAACATTGTAACTAACAAAAAGTCGAATATGTATACAGAAATAAATATAAGTAAAGCTATTTATTTTTATTTTCAATTTATTTCTTACAAGTTTTAAAAAAATTTCTAAACCGTATATACATGGGTCCTAATCTAATATCATATACAAGTGAAAGTAACTCCGTTCTAATTCATTTTCTTGTGACACAAAGGATACGATACAAAATGTGTGGATTCACACAGATATTATTTTTTAATGTATTTTTATGATTAATGAATACTATTGAAGTCTCCATCAATCCTTTTTAGTTGTTTATTACATTCACCAACCTGATATTGGGAAACGAAAACTGTAGATGAACTGTCAACAAACAAATTAGATCATTACCAAATCATTGCAGCCACATATTTGTTCTTTATTTGCTTAAATATTGTTGGGTATGAATTTGCAGTCTGCGCCAGGGCCCACCTGCAGGGAAGAAAGCCCAAGAAGCTATCCTTTGTCTAAGTTAGCATTCAAGCAAGAGAGCAGCCTCCACCAATGAAATCCACACAAAGGGATACTCTTTTCACTCCCAAACTCATTTCTTCTCATATCCTTCGCTTATCTCATAGCCTAGCAGGCTCCCGGGAGACAGCTACTTGCCCCAGTGAGCCCACAAGAAGCCCAAAGTGAAGATACATGGGCTTATGATACTTAAGACCCATCCTAAAAAGGATGCGCTTTGGAGACTCGAACCCAGCACCTTAGAGACCGCCAATAATGATGTAAACCACTGCACCAAAAAATATTTATTGTACATTATGCCCCAAGCTTATTTATATAACTTTGGCCCTAACGTCTTTCCTTCATGGGCTACTGGCCCTAGCTCCTGCAGACCCCCTGAAGTCCATCTCCACCTGCCTAGCTGGAGATATTGACTCCCCGCAAGGCTACACACATTGGTTCTGTTTGCTCCCCAGTGGATGGAGCTCCTATCCTATGCTATATCGTTATCACGACCCTGACGAACACATATCCCTCTCAAGCATCCTACAAAATGCTCCCGAACAGTTGGCATTAGACGAAGGGGAGCATCAAACCAAATGCAACGAGTAGCACCATCCAGAATTGCAGTATGTTCTCCTCAAAAACATATCTCTTGGGTACATTTTTTCCCCTCGGGGGCTTGACGCCGTCCCACTTGGGATGCACATCTTCATATGATTCTCGCTATTACCACTCGGATTATTCCTTTACTGTTTATCGCATCGCTTATTCTTTCTCTCGAGAACATTCTTCCGGGAATCGGGGATTACCCTTCTCAGAGGACTTCTCTTCAATCCTCTGGGATCGCCCTCAAGGGAACTATCCTCCGGAAGTGCCTTCACGGGCACGCCCTCCGGGGAACTCCCTTCGGGAAAAACGGTCTTTCAGAGACCTGCCTCCAGAGACATGCTCTCCGGGGAACTTCCTCCGAGAAAAACGGTTTTCCGAGACTGGCCTCCAGGGGCACGCCCTCCAGGGAACTCCCTTTGGGAAAAATGGTCTTTCCGAGACCGGCCTCCAGGACACGCCCTCCGGGGAACTCCCTTCGGGAGAAACAGTCTTTCCGAGACCGGCCTCCAGGGGCACGCCCTTCGGAGAACTTCCTTCGGAGAAAACGGTCTTTCCGAGACCAGCCTCCAAGGGCACGCCCTCCGGGGAACTTCCTCCGGGAAAAACGGTCTTTTCGAGACCGGCCTCCAGGGGCACGCCCTCCGGGGAACTCCCTTTGGGAAAAATGGTCTTTCTGAAACCGGCCTCCAAGGGCACATCCTCCGGGAAAAACGGTATTTCCGAGACCAGCCTCCAGGGGCACGCCCTCAAGGGAACTTCCCCCAGGAAAAACAGTCTTTCCGAGACTAGCCTCCAGGGGCATGCCTGATATATCATGGTTTTTATGGTTTTTAACCATGATATAAATCCTTTTTATTGAGTCTTTTTGGTATTTTTAGAGTCCTAGAAGAGTCTTTGCAGGTTATAGCATGTCTGGAGCATAATTGGAGATTTCGGAACCTTTTGGAGCATTCTGAGTGGAAGCCACGAAGTACCAAGCTCGAAGCAGAAAGTATTCACAAATGGTGACGATCATCACCCCTTTAGTGACGCTCGTCACCCACTAAGGAAGGAGCGTAGCGTTTTATTAAAAGTATCAAGAAGAATTGCAGAATTGGCCCAGAAGTTTCCTTTATTTACATGAAGACCCCAGATCGTGTTTAGCTTCTATTTATTAGGTTTTTCAGCCATTGTTGGCTATTATCTTAGTTTTTGAGAATTCAGAGAGCTAGAGAGAGATTTATTCAGAGCTTTTTGGGGAGACAAATCCTGTACTCTTTTGAGAAGATTTCGAACCCCCTTTTGTTTCTTACTCTTTCTCTTAATGCAATTTTATTCAGCTATGTTTTGTGATCTCATAATCATGTCTGAGTAATCTGCTAGTTAAGTTAGGGTTTTTCAAAGGTTGATGAAAAGATTTTAGAATCGCTAATCGTTAGGAATATCTTATGGTTTTTCATCTCTGCTTGCTTTAAAATCGAATTTCTGAGACAATCATCTAGGAATCCGAAAATTATAGGTTGTTAAATATATGTGAGAGCATTATTCATAACCTGAACTAGTATTTGATGAGCAAAACAACTTAGTACAAAGAGATTTGGCTTAGGAGTTTTGTAAACAACTGAATCTGATCATTCCTGCATGCTTAGGTTGTTAGGGTTTACAAAGAGATTTGAAATCCTGTGATCTAGGTATAGATAAATTTTGCAATGAGAATTGATTAGTTATGCATTAGAGATTCATGTTTAAAACGGTTCTTAATCATTC